CCCCCGGTTGACTGAGACTTAGGCGCGACCAGCTACTCACTTTGCTCCTTCAATCCATCCCCTTGCTCCTGTGGATGAGCATCACAAGTAACAAGCTTGACATCACATCCATCCAGCTCAGATCTAATTCCCTGTTCGGCCAAGAAGGCTTTGTACTCAGCTATGTCTTCATCCGGCTCCCGTTCTCCTTGCCTTCCTTTCTTGAATCCTCCCATCAACTCCGGGCGAGTCTTCAAGACAGCTTCCATTGATATAGTTTCCAACCTCCTAAACAAAGAAGCTCTCTTAGCTTCCCACTCGGCCTAGGCCTTCTCTAGTTGGAGTGTCAGATCCGCACGAATCTTCTCGAACTCTTTCCCCTTCTCCTGCTCAACTTGTAGCTTGCCTTCTAGTTCAGAGTTGGAGTTGACCAGTTCCCTATTATGCATCTCCAGATCCTTGTTCCTCTTTTCCTGTGAGGTGACCAACTTTTGGAGATGGACACCCCTAGAAAAAGCTTGCGGTCAGGAAACAAAAAATTATGCAAAGTGTAAAAACAAACAAGTATGAAAACAACAAGTCAACAAATACCTAGAAGAGATTGGTGGTGGTCCACTCGGCCGCCTACGTTGCAACGAGTTGACATTCATCCTCTAGGAGGGGGAAAGACTCCAACACGGCTCTAACAAAAGAAGTGTCAGAGTAGACCGAGGCATCAGACGAAATGACGATCTTCTCGTGATCATCATCCAACACCACAATCGCTGGAGTCGACACCGCCCTCTGGATAGATGGAGCAACACGGCTCGGATCAACACTGAAAAAGTTTCTCCTTGCTTGATTCTTCTTCTCTTCCTCGCCGACTCGACGCTATGCTTCTCCCTAATCTTTTTCACGGTTGGCACATGGAATTGTGGTGTCATCATCTCCTCTGCAAGGTACAATTCTTCGGGAGTTAGTGGGTGACAAATAGACCTACCAAAGACAATAAGGTTGCTGTACCGGACCAACAAGACATACAACAACAAGTTACTAGACAGAAGCAAGGTACCTTGTTGCACTTCAAAGACGTGCTCCCACAAGTGACTCCTCCTAAGGTTTGCCTCGTCCAACACTCGACGATAATTCCGCTCCTCTTGAGGGAGTGCAAGAATAGCTTGGCTTGGCTCTTCTCCTCAGCACGAAGTCCCGACAACACTCGATTGTAATTCAAACATGCAAAATAAAAAACAATGAGATTTAGTACACCAATATTTATCAAAATACTAAGTTCACTCACCCGTAGTTTGCTAAAAGAATGGGATATTCTCGTCTCCACTCTCCCCGAAGACCAAGTCATCCTTCACAAGGAAGTAGTCGTCCTTCTACTTCTTATCATACGTCTTTAGCCCTGTCACCAAATGGTTCTGGTTGTGCCTCAACATAAAGAGGTACCTACCTCTTTTCCTTATCATGCTCTTTTAGATAATACGAGTAAAGCAAATCCATGGCTTTGAATTCTATGCAAAGCCGCATGCATAGATATTCAATGGACATAAGCAATCGCCAAATGTTTGGTATCAATTGGCTCAGAGTGATGATGTAGTGGCTCAGCACATCATGCACCAATCTTGGGATGGGAAAACACATCCCTTCTACCAGGGTATGCTCATAAATGCTTACCCAGCCCAGCACAGACCAATCCACCCTCTCGTTTCTAGTTGGCACTCTCATCTATATGAAATCAGGTATCTTGTAAAGATACTTGAGCTTCACCATCTCCACCAGCTCAAGCCTAGACGGTAGATTATCAATGAGCCTCCAACTTAGGACGAATTAGCTCTGTTAGTAAATCGATGAGCAGAGGCAGCAGAAAACAAAAATTATTTCTCATCGATTACTCTGATTTCGCCAAGATCAATATATATATATATATATATATATATAAATATATATAATATAGGGATTTGAAGGTTGAGTGTAGAGAAGAATAAGAGTAAATTTTCTCTCTAAAGCTCCCTCACCGCAGCCAAATTGAAATATATGTATAAAACCTAACTTTTGCTTCATTTAGATAATGATCCAAATATCCATTCCACCCCCAAAGTTTAGCAATAACCTAAACTTAGGTGAAATCGGTTATAGGTCCCTATTTAATTATTTAGTTAAATATTAATATTAACTTCAATAATTAAATTTGTAATTTTGCTTTCTTTATTCCAATAATAAAATTGGACACAGGCTACAACCTCAGTAAGTTTAATTACACAACAAAATTACCAATATGCCTATTTGTCTAAAAGACAAATATGCCCTTCCAAAATTTACCATCCTTAAACTGTCTTCTAAGTGTGTAACCCGTAAGCTCCTCATTATATCTGCAGTAAGTAGTATCGCGATTGACACCAATCAATCGTCTCACTACACACAGACCAAGATTGGCCCCTAACAAGGCATCATAGCCACCTGATCGATTTGGATTCAGCGAAACAACTGCCTATCAACGATATGGATACCGTGCAATCAAATCATTTCATCATTTGTTATCTCACCGAGACTGAGATACATAAATATTGTTAACCTCAGTTATTATCGATGTCTTTATATTCAGTTACTGGACCAATGACTAGAATAATAAATTGGATTGGGCAACAACTCAATCTCACTGTGGCCACAACTTTAGTGTCATTGTCGTATACTGAATCGCGCAGTGAGATAACTTCTCCCGTACCTAGAGGTGATGAATCCTTTGTCGATCCACCATAGTCTTGATACACTCCTCAGTGTAGCCAATCAATACCGTATTGTTAACTCTAAATAGAACTACGTTAGACTAGTGTCAAACTACACCAATCAGTGCACAAGGCGCTTCGGTGATCTCAAGTCCAAGGATCACGTGCACCACTATTCGTTAGAGGATTTATTCCATGGACATTGGGCCTACCATCTATATGGAATCCTCTGGTGGTTCAGTCTACTGAACTTGCCTACAGCAAGCACTCATATGTTGCACCAGGTTGCCAATAAACAACCTTGATATGTGAGATCAGTCACTACCTTTTAATAAAGTTGTTCAACACTATGATAGTCTTACCGTATTATCTGTGTCCTTGGTCGGAATAATATTGGGGCTACGGACATTTCTAGAATGGCCACCATATGTGATCATACGGTTCTTACTATCAAGATTTCAAACACTTGATACCCTCGTCATGATTTTATCATCCTAAGGACATATATCAATACATATCAATATGATTTACACGATATAAAATAAAATGTCTTCTATTGATTAATGACCATTATTACAAAGAGTCAATTCTATAATAATTTATTAGTTATATGACCCCTACTCTAACAAGCGAGGGAGCTTTGCTTCCATTTGCCCAATCCGCATCGATAGCACTCTCCATTTCGGATCCACTATTTGAGCCTTTGCTACTGGAGCCAATATCGCTCGGCTCTACACCATGGCCGCTTGGCATGTGCCCCACATGGAAGGCTACGTTCACACCCTTAGTCAAAGCCATCTAGCCTTCTTAGGGAACCACTACTATCGTAGGGGCGTTCTCATATTCATCACCTTCAAACATCCTTGCATGGCTCGGTATTGCCACTATAACTCGATTGGCCTTGAATCGAACCCTAGACACCCACCTATTACCCGCTCAGTTCAGCACTCAAAATAAGTCACCTAATCCTACTTTCCAACTCTAACCCCAAAAGAGAAACCAGTTACCACCAAACACACTCCAAAACCACCCAAAGGTGAAATCCACATGGAAAACTACCTTTACCCGCAAAACCCACTTTTTCCCTTCGAAGAATCCTTGAAACTTCACCAAATCTTCTCAAAACTACTCGGAATCTACTAAGGAACACTAAAGAAAGGAGAAACAAGGAAAAACTTCGAAGAAAAGCAAAATTTTTACTGTGATTTTTGGAAGAAAATACGAAAGTTCTCTGCACTACAAAATACTCCTACCGAAGATGAATGGGTGCCAAATAAAGCATTGTTTTAAAACTCGACCGGCCTGACCGGTTTAACTGGTTTAACCGAGACTCGACAGCTTTAACGGGCCGAGTTTAACTTTTTCGATTCACCCCAAAACCCTAAGATTTGGGAGAATAATCGACGAGCAATCGACGGCTGGAAGGTTAGGGCTTTTGAAGACTAAGTTGAGGGGAATTCAATGGTGGTGACGGCGTTGATTTCTGGTGAGTAAATCGACCGGAAATCGAACAAACCTGGCAGCGGCAACAATGAGATTTTTCCGACGATTGACAAAGCTAACGGGTGTGGGGTGAGGTGAGATCTGGCTGAAATCGAACCTATTTCGGCTAGATCTTGGATAGATTTTAATGGAAATGGGCTTAGGGGACGATTGGAGTTGCATCCAGGGTGTCGCCGCTGCCGATCAGTCGCCGATCGATTTTCATTTGAGGTGTGTTTGATAAAATTCAAACATGTAGGGACTTGCAGGTCATTTCAAGGGTGCATTTGTTGAGTTTTAAAATTTTTTTATCAACCGGTTTGACCAGCGGTCAAACCGATCAACTCGGAACCCAAAAACTTTGTTGGGTTCCACCCCGGGTCGGGTTTTAAAACATTGAAATGAAGAAAGACAACCCATTTAATGCCCCATCATTTCAAAAATGATAGGTGGCATGAATCCGTAAAGCCTCAAGAAACAAAGGCTTGTTGTATTCCCGCCCAAACATAAATTGGAACTGGACCCAACACGTGACATCCACGCTCCAACTATAAACAGCCAGTTCGCCAAGCCGACTTGATGCCTTTGAGGGGAGAACTACTAGGTTAAATGTCGCCGTGAGATGATAAAGCTCGCCAACAATCCGTTCAGCTCGAGCAATCCAATTTATTTGAACTTCTATGTGTCATTGAAATATAATTATCAATCAATATTTTCTTATAAAAAAATATAAATAAAGAGTTCAGCCAAATAAAATAAATAAGCATAAAGTAGAATTAATAAAATTTAAGGATCTTAGTGACTATTAATGATAATTATCTCATTTATAGTGCCAGTCTATGGTACCAAAGATTCAACTTATGTTAGAGCAAAATAAGATAACTATATCCTCTTAAGCAATTTTTAAGTTCCACCAACCAAAATTTGAACATTTAATTTCCGATAACAAGTGAACATTGTTTAAAGTCAAGAGCAGAAACAAATGGCTGACCAGACAAACAACTCAGATCAGCATTCTTCTGCCATTTCCAGAAAAACCTGGTTACAACTAATAGGTTGAAATCCATCGAGACCTTAAGAATCAGTTAACTAGCAATTTCTTTCAAGAAAATTACTGAAATTGCATTAGATACTGACAGTAGACTGCGTGTATTTCAAGTTTTAGGTTTCTTTGGTGATTCAGTATTCCCCGGCTCGGCCTTGCGCTTTATCCCCAAGAAATGCTCGACCTGAAAGGTGAACAGAAGTTGCTCAGTACTGATAATTCAGCAACTGCTGATATAAGTTTCAGAATGCTTACTGCAGATAAGATTAATTAAGACTTCAACATCAAGAAAATTCCAATGAGAGTTGTAAAACGAATTAGAACTCGTTGAATTTATCTAACTCTCTCACTTGATTAAAGGAAGGAACACAATTTAAACGAAAAACATGCACATTAAAATGCCTCCATAAATCACGACTGAAATGAGCACCAGAAAAAACTAACACTGTCCAAATTTATCTAACTCTGCACGTTAAAATGCCTCCATAAAAGTTCCTCTGCAGCAGAACTTTTATGGAGAAATCTGATGTCTCTAAATATTTAATGTTTTGGGTAGGCAAGATTGACATTTGAAGTCAAACTTCTTTTTTTTTTTTTCTTTTTTTTTTTTTACATGAGATAGCAATTAACATTCAATGGTATTTTCCATCTTCTGAATAGCAGTTCTTCAAAAAGTTTATATTAGTTTGGCAAAGATGAGGACACAGAAAAGCAGGTATTACACAAGCCTTAACATATTACAGTTACAACACTAACTAGGCAGGAGATAAAAAGAACACAAGTCAATAATAAGTTGGTGAACATGAGGCCATAGAAAACACGATTGCAAACATAAAAATCTAGACTAGGGTTAAAAGAGCCATCTGTATATTAGGCAGCTCTAAGTTAACAATTCATAGAAAATCCTGTCAAGAGTTACTGCAAAGTCCTCAAGTTAGCACAATGGGAAACCACCACAAACTATCTCATAGGGAATAAGTCTGTCGTAAGAAGCATCAAACACCTTATCAAAAATAGAAAAAAGACACAAAAAGACACTTCAAACACCCAGAAGAATGTGGCAGAAAACAGAAAAATAACAGTAAAGCATCTACATATGTGCATACTATTCTATACGCACATTTGTCCATTGATGCATATGCACAAAACAGTAAAGAATCACTGACCTTTCTATTGCCAAGCATGGGTGTTAAGCCACCTGAGAGATCTTTTTCAACGGTAGCAAAACCACTTCTAGGATCACTGGTTTGCCTACAAATAAACAAAAAAGATATAAATAAAATAAAATCAAGCATTCAAGGAGAAAATAGACATAGAATCATATTTTGATTTTTTTGATAAAATAAATAAGAAGAATGTTTCATCACAAGCCATAGTCCTGTTCATTAATTAAAAAAAAGGTTCTCATGACAACCATATTCAATTTAGTAATCAAATGAAAAGATTGCAAAAGGTAATTCCACTCAAGCTTAAAGCAGTGACTACTTTTTCTCCTCACTACTTCATTGTAAATTGATAATTATTGAAAAAAAAGAAAATAATAGAAACATGAACCATACCCTGGTTTTACATGACCACTCAGGACAAGATAGGGTGTTTGTAACCGAGCTTGAGTTTCCCTCATCCTCTCCACAGAAAGAGACGGTGTATCAGAATTTTTCATTTGCTTTAACTTCAACTCTTCTTGGTATTGCTTCATGCGTTTCTCTTGCTTCATTTTTCCGGGCCCCTTCCCATGGAATTTGTGAGAAATCATCCTAANCTCCTCACTACTTCATTGTAAATTGCTAATTATTGAAAAAAAAGAAAATAATAGAAACATGAACCATACCCTGGTTTTACATGACCACTCAGGACAAGATAGGGTGTTTGTAACCGAGCTTGAGTTTCCCTCATCCTCTCCACAGAAAGAGACGGTGTATCAGAATTTTTCATTTGCTTTAACTTCAACTCTTCTTGGTATTGCTTCATGCGTTTCTCTTGCTTCATTTTTCCGGGCCCCTTCCCATGGAATTTGTGAGAAATCATCCTAAAGGCCTCCTTGGGAGTCATCTGGTGAAAAAAAAAAAGGGAAATAATTCAACAATAAAGTAAACACAAAAATATTACAATAAAAGCAGTGATGACAACTAATTTCAAATATAAATCAAAGTTCATGCAAATATAAGGTCAATAAACAAGCATGATATTTTATGAAGACCAAACATGAGACCACCTAAGAAAATTACAACTATTGTTGTGGGGTTGGAGTCCAGCATGTTACACCTTCAATCTATAAGATTAATCAGAGCCACATAGATACCCCTGTAAATGGTGATTACTATTAACATGACACCATGGTTTGTCACCCACATTGTCAATTATGATATTATCAACTACTGAGAATATATTGAGCACACTATTTAAACGTTGGCTTTGAACAAGAAGCTTTTGTTTCAATATAGTTACAAGCAGATTCCACGTAGCTCCATTGCTTTCTATAATAAATGAAATGCACCTATCTACAACCTGTGCAATGAACCATAGGCACAACAATGCACCATCAAAATTTTAAATGCAAGATGGCTTCTTTAAATGACCCATGCTGAAATAAAGATATTGCCTAAAGGGAATATTAACAAGATGACCCAATACACTATAGAATCAAGTGCCCATAATTTCAACTCTTATGACTTACACAAGTCAGTAACCCTGTGTACTATATACATGACATTCAACCATTTCCTGAACTATAACACAATTAAAAATTCCATGGCACAAAAATTTAATGTAATCGGTACTTACAATTCTCCCAAATTCATCTGTTCTTTCAATGCGAATATCCTTAAACCTATTATCAGTCTCTGCATTGTCATCAACAATGCCAACAAGCTTGCTCTTTTTCTTGTCCATGTTCCTGCCACCCCAATCAATACTTTCTTTAAGGGTTCCACGGTCCTTAAGCAGCTTAAGCGCACCTGATAATCCTTTCCCAACTGCAACTTCATGAATGGTTTCATCTGGAACTATTTCCTCCTTATCTTCATCAGCTGGCTTTTCATCTGCATCAGTCTCTTTGACCTCCGTCCACCCACTGGGTTCGTCTCTTATTTCTTCTTCAGAAGCTCTTGGGGCTTCATCTTCATCCATGAAAACATCTTCATGCTCAGGCTTCTGAGCTTCTGAAAGAGCCAAACCAATACAAATGTTACACGTGAGTGCCGGCAGACTCAAGTATATTAAACTCAAAGCAGAAGGGTTAAAAAAAAAAAAGAAAAAAATAGAGTATCCAAAAAGAAAAACAGAAACTGTGGGCCCCTTTGGTTCAGTATTATTACCCTATGCTATTCCACTATCTTATCTTAAAAACCCAAAATGCATTTGTTTCAAAATTCTCAAAATCCAATTCTACTTTATTCAACTCACAAAACATTAATAATTACCTTTCTCGTAAAAATAACCCAATTTTCCTTTTTCCAAAATACTATACTAAAAAGCATCAGCATAATAAACCAAACAGAGCCCTTTAATATTAGAAAAATATTAAAACAGCCATGTTTCTAAAAATGCAAATGGTGGTTGGTATCTGGTTCACTGAGCAACCACGTATGTGTGAAACAGTCCAAATTATTGACGTAAAAGATTTAAAATTAATCAGCACCTTTTAGTCTAAGGTAGCAAATATTAACAGAGCAGAGTGAGAAAAAAAAAAAAAAAAAATAGTACCTTCATCAAGCTGGAGACCCCACACAAACTCTTCCATCTCAGTAAAGACAACTTTGTTTTCTTGTGACTCCCCACTAGTAGGGTTTTGATCCTCAACAGCTTGATTGCTGGTAGTGGTGGTGGCACGGAGTGCAATTGCTTGAGGACCAGATGCTGTNAAATGCAAATGGTGGTTGGTATCTGGTTCACTGAGCAACCACGTATGTGTGAAACAGTCCAAATTATTGACATAAAAGATTTAAAATTAATCAGGACCTTTTAGTCTAAGGTAGCAAATATTAACAGAGCAGAGTGAGAAAAAAAAAAAAAAAAAATAGTACCTTCATCAAGCTGGAGACCCCACACAAACTCTTCCATCTCAGTAAAGACAACTTTGTTTTCTTGTGACTCCCCACTAGTAGGGTTTTGATCCTCAACAGCTTGATTGCTGGTAGTGGTGGTGGCACGGAGTGCAATTGCTTGAGGACCAGATGCTGTCTCCTCTTGCTTTTTAAGAGCTAATTTTCTTGCTCTTTCTAAGGATTTATATAAATCCTCCTCATCATCAACAATAACAGGATTTTCATCTTCCTCCAATGTTACAGGAAGAGGTTGTTCTAGTCTCAGTGATTTAGTTGCCTCATCTGCTTTGGCAAGAGCTGATTGATATGCACTATTCCTCATTTCAGCCTCAGTTCTCTCTTGCTCCTCTCTGATGGCCTGCCTTCTCCCATCCTTCCGAGAACCAAGATCCCCAGCACCCAAACCTGCAGAGACTGCTTCTGCTTCAAGAGCATCTAAATCCAGCTTCTCTTTCTTCCTTATCACTTTCTTTTTTTTAGGCTTCTTAAATTTAACCATTTCTTCTTGAGTATAGTAGTCTGATGAGAACTTTGCAGACGAGTTGAGATCTTCAAAGCGGTTACTTGTTGAAACACCCTGTATCCTTTTTCGAAGCTAACACAAGAAAATGACAATAGAAAACCTCATCAATAAAATGATGGTAACTTTAACCCTTAAACTGATCTTAAATAAACACATAGGCAAACTGATTACCTCTTCAAGTTTCTTCTCTGCTTCACCAGTGAAACGTCCCCTTGCATCCAGAGTTACTCCCTGAAAAAAGAAAGTATTCAGTTAAAACAAAACCCAATAATTACCATGTATAGCATTTCTTTAAAAAAAAAAAAAAAAGGCTAAAAAAAAAAAAAAAAAAAGGCTTGATGCAAACAGCTCAAAGAAATTAGAGAAGGGAAAGGAGGGAGGCACTAACCTCCTCCGCTTTTGGGTCATCATACTGCGGAAGTATCTTCTTCTCTGAGCTAGGATCATCATTGAACCTAAAGTGCAGAAACATCACCACAATTGACCCACTTCTTGAATATACTTTATGGAATAATAAAGACATTACAGCAATGCTCATCTTACTTATCATCATAGATTCCTGTTTTCTTCTTTGCAGCCTTGTAAGCCTCATTTCGCCGCTTCTGCTCACCAATTTCAACATTTTCGAGCATATCTATCTCTGTCACATCAGACCAAAAACTTCTGTTACACAAAAATCTCATGTCATCTAAGGGCAACTAGGCCTGTAAAATACAAATGCAAGACCCAAACTAAGTTTACCTTCATTAATGTCACCAGAAGAAAGTATATTCTGATCCTTAAGAGTCAAAACAACGGCTCCACCTTCCATTACTTTATCAAGACCATGAAGTACTTTAATTCCCGCTAGATCATCTGTTAACAGGAGTTCCAAGATAGAAGTGAGATCAAAGGGCCCTTATTTATACTAATCTAACAGACTCAATAGCAAAAGGACAGCTAATTATAATAGGATATGTTATTAAACCATGCAAGAAATTTGATGCTAATTAAATTTTAGTTGATAGAAATAAAAGAAGATCTTGAAGTAAGAATAAACCGTACGAGTATTTTGATGCCCTGCATCCTCATCTTCACCTTCTCCTTCTCCTTGAACAATATTGTCCTGTAAAATTTACACCGTAGAAATGATTATTAAAGTCATATGATATAAACATCTCTTTAAGACAAGATGCAATAGAACACACATAAAACACAAACTAACCCGCTCCTCAAACATCTTGGAAAACTGCAAGGCTTTCTCCTTTTCAGAATTCTTATTCTCCTCTAGCTTTCGGCTCCTACTAACCCATGATAAAACCTCAGAAGCACCTTCAGACTTTTTCTTTACTCTTTCTTCTTTCATCCTAAGAAAATTATAAAAATGTAAGGATAAACATTGTTCATATTACATCCAAAATTATCATGAAAACAAATATTCAATACTTCATTGAAGATTAGGAATTGATAAATCTTATAGGATATATTACACCAGCAAGAAATCAACAAAAAGCAGCAATTTGCTACTAAATTTGTACGAAAGCATAATGCATACTCCAACAATATCCATCATTTAAAAAACCAAAAATTCTATCACCAAATTCAGAATTTTGGAAATCTCTAAAGAGAAATAAAATCAAATTTGATACAGCACCAAATATAACTTCCAAACACTAATAGGCAGATACTTAAGAATTACAAACTCAATAAAATTCAAAATGGAAATGGTCAATATATCCCTTAAATAAAAATTCCATATGCTGGAATCATGGATCAACACTTGGCAACATCAGTCAATCTCTCTCCATCTCAAGCAGAAACACACACATATATAAACGTTGCATTTCAAGGGACTCTTCTTCAATGAACGGGCAAGACTTTGAGCCTTTTTTATGTTCTAAGTGTCTGTTTGTCCAGCCCCCAAAAAAGGGGTCTACTAATTGTTATTGTGCTAGGAAGTCAAGGTATCATGGAAAAAGGATTATAGCGTTATTATTTGACAGATTAAGTGATAACATGAATCTTTACTATATAAATTTAATTCCAAATAGAGGAACACTTGGTTAAGGGATTTTTTTGGTTTTAATATTCACCATGTAAGACATGATATCTCTAACCAATCACCATCCTAATTCTCAAAGGGATAGCCCTAAATCTTAAATATCAGAACTCCAACAACAATACTAATCTATCAATGAAAAGACAACAAATATTTTAATGGTCTTTTTAATAACAGAATTAAATTACTCAACAGAAAATCATCAAATAGAATATGCAAAGATAATAGTCAATGGAAAACACATCTCTCCATAAACCAAAATTGGGAGTTTTCTGGATTAGTTTTGTATATTTTGGGGAACATTTTTTATTCTTCTGTTGCTGTGTTATAGGTCCCTTTTTTTGGGTAGATTCTAGACTGGAGCTGGTTATTATAGTTTTGCAATGATTCAAGTAACTTTTCCAGTCAGGTCCTGGTTTTTGCAGCTGTTCAAATGTTTTGTAAATTGACATAACATTAATTACATGCCTTCCATTTTCGTCAAAAAGAACAAGGGCGCCTAGTAAATTGAAATGTACAGATTAGCAAAAGATCTAAACCTCCCAGCAGCTGCTGGGAATGACAAATTGACAATCTTTTGTAGTAATAGTGAGCTGGTCTCAATAGATCCACAAACTCATGGCATATATTATCATGCACAACCCTTCCACAAGCAAAACTATCATGCAGACTTTCCATCATGACACACAGAAAGAATTAATAAATAGAAATTCACTTACTTCAAAATGCGCTCCTCAAGGTCCAATGATGATGCATGTCCTTTACCTGATGCATCCTCATCATCTTGTTCACCCTTGTCATCAAAAGAAACCTTTCCTTGCTTGTTAGCATCCCTATCCCTATTATCTTCATAATCCAATTTAAGCTTATCACTACTGTTCCTACCATAATGTTCTTCACGTGCCTTCTTGCTTGTTCTCTCTCTTTCTCTTGACTTGTCTTTATCTGTGTCCATCTCCCTTCCCTTATCTTTGCTTTTGTCCGCCTTCTCTCTATCCCTATCCCTCTCACTTTCCCTCTCCTTCTCTCTATCCTTATGTTTCTCCCTACCTTTCTCCCTTTCTTTCTCCTTGGCCCTTTCTCTCTCCTTTTCCCTGTCCCTGCTCTTCTCCTTTGCCCTCTCCTTCTCAATTTCCCTATCTCTCTCTGGTTCCTTTTCCTTATATTTATCCTTCCTATCCTTGTCCCTCTCTCTATGCTTTTCTCTGTCTTTGCTTCTCTCCTTGTCATGGTCATCTCTCTCTTCCTTCCTCCTTTCTTTTCGATCTTTTTCCAAATCTTTTCTGTCTTTACTTCTATGATCCCTGTCTTCACCTCGGCTGCTACTCTTGTTCCTATCCTTGTTCCGATGCTCACTCGACTTTTCATTCCCATTTTGGTCCAAACTATCATCATATGCTCCTTCCACCCTGTGTTCTTTCACTGGAGATTCATCCCTTCATATACCGATCCATGTCCACAAGACAATTTAAGCTTTTCTATGAATTTCACACTGCAACATAATGAAAAAAGCAATTCAATCGTAAAGCACTATCATAATTTAATCACAAAAGCTGTAAATGCAATTCAAATAACAACTACAAGCATCATAATTCAAGTTGATCAAATACAATTACATCCACAACAAAATAAATAAACTTAAAAACCAAAACAATAAATTTAAACCCAAAAAAAAAAAAAAAAAAAAAAAAGCAAATCTGCAACGCTATTTATATAACCAACCAGTTGTAGTTCAAACCCCCTCAGAACGGAATAGCCTTTAATTGGTAAAGCATCCACTTAAGGTTTTGAAAAATCTCTCATGAAATTAAATAAGTAACATCTGAATTGCATTCACTGTCCTTTCACGGCTTTAGGCTTTCCCCTCCCCCAATCCATCCCACTCCTTCAGCACGTCAAAAAAAAAAAAAAAAACAAAAATCTGTAATTAGAAACTAAGAACCAAGAAGAAACCCTAATCGAGAGAAATTCAAATTTCAAGTCTTCGGTTAGTGACTTGGTATATCTTCTCACAAATTAAAAAATAGTACACATCAGTGATGCAATCCTCTTTTTTCTCTCTATTTAATCTATTTTTTTTTTTTTTTTTAACGCAATTTAACAAACCACAAACAATCTCCACCGTTAATATAGAGCAAAGCATGACAAGATTTCACAGTCAATCCGAACTCGCTTCGAGCCCACAAAAACATTGTTCCACCGCCATGGAATTAGTTTCGAAACGTTTTACAACTCAAAAGCAAAAAATAAAAATAAAAATGGGAAAACTGACAAAGAGAGAGATTGGATCGCGAAACGAACCTTTGGATGAACTAGAGTTCTCCGTAACGTTTCCCTAAATAACGGCACCCGACGGCGCAGTTGCGGCGGATAATTATGTTCTCCGAAGGCTTGAAGTTAAGTTGAGAGCTGGAAGAGAGAAGTAACGAGAAGAGGGAGAACGTTTAAAGAATTTTTATTCGTGAAGGCCGGGCTGCAAAAATCCGGTTAACCGAACCGGATACAGCATTTGTCCCGAACCGGTTTTTCGGTTCAAACCGTATGGCAAACCGAAACTGGTCCGGTTTTTTGCATTAACCGGTTTGCAAATCGGACCGAATTTTCGGTTTGCAATCTTAAATAATTTTTTTTTTTCTTTTTTTATATGTTATGATAAAAAAAATTTCCTATTCTAATATCAATTTTAATACATTTCAAAAATAACTTTTAACCCATATTCCATAATTGGGTTTTGTAATTTTCTTTTACTATCATCCCATATCCTGTATTGTTTTGATTAAAAAAAAAAAATGTCTATTAATTTACAGGTCTAGCTATTGATGTATTTTTCTTTTCTATTTTTTTTTTCTTTTACACCTAATCTTAATGTAAGTAGTTAATCATTGAAGGTAAATACATTATAGGTGCCAACTGCCAATTCCCCAAATTAGCTCAAATCTGTGCAAAATCTGGAGGGATTTTATAGTTTCTCCTATGTCCTGTGTGTGGATGAATGAACTTACAATATAAAATATAATCCTAAAACACTGCATACTTAATAAGAAGTTAATGCAGAAATTTAGCCTAATCGTCTACCAAGACCAAAGCATGCAGGCAAAGCCTCTCTATTTCAGAACCAGCTTCAAGATTTTTCCATGACAGAAAGGTGAAGTTCTGGGCTGAAGCAGACATATCTGTGTTCTCCTCCCTCCATAGTGTCATTGCCTGTATATCATTTCATCAGTCCATCAATCATATATAGCAATGCAGCTAAAATCTATTCACGAAGCAGGTAAGGTATATCTGTTTATCTACATTAATGGCATCTAATAGACTAATTCTTCTACGGGTTTTGGAATGTGCTGCTTGCCTAAAACAATGTATGATCTTTTTAAAAATCGTAAGCTTATGAATATGACATTTTATGAGTCCCAAAACTGTGTCAATTACTCAACATCAAACATGTCAAACTGAATACTTATTGTCTCTATCACAATCTTTAAACAGAAAAATTATTCAATTTTATGAGTCCCAAACCGTGTCAATTACTCAACAAATCAAACATGTCAAACTGAATACTATGTCTCTGTCACACCTCTTTAAACAGAAAAATTATTCAATTTATGAGTCCCAAAACCGTGTCAATTACTCAACAAATCAAACATGTCAAACTGAATACTTATTGATCAACCAATCTTAACAAACCAGCTTATAAAATAATTAAGAAATGAGATCAGAATCTTAACAAACCGCTTATAATCAAAAGTATATACCTCATATATTGGTTATCATTCAACATACCATATGACTTGTGCTTTCCAATCCGAAATGCGCAATTTCTACAAATAATTGGACAAGCAATATAGATAGGTTATATTTGCAAACTATATTTGACAAAAAACAAGAAATAATCAATAAATAACCAAAAAATTATAAGTAATGAACAATTTTACCCTTGTCAAGTTTTGATATTTCGTCCAAGCTCTCCTCTATTGAATGGTACACGCGAAGCCCGAACCCAATCCTGTGTACAAATAAGAGCCTCCACCATCTTGGGAGTGAGGGAGCTACGAAATGGATCCAATACACGACCCCCCGTACTGAAAGCCGACTCAGATGCAACGGTAGAGACAGGCATAGCCAATACATCTTGTGCTATCATAGACAGAGCTCCATATTTTGTTAATTTAACTCCACCATTGCAATATATCAAAACTCTTGTTGTCATTTCACATCGTCCGCTAAATATTTGTCCAACTCTGTTTTGTCATTCACACTTTTTGTCCAGCATCTTCTCTTTATACATTACCTTCATAAACTCCTCAGTATCAAGTCTACATCATCAACATCAATCTCCATTGCAACTCGAGTCTGCTCACTTGGTTGAGCACTAGGGACCACCTTAACGAACTATATTGCTCAAATAAAGCCACCAAAACTTCTTTCCCTTTTGTTTTCAACCTCTCAGCAAGATCCGTATCAAAAGACTCATTAATAACCCAATTCCATATTCTAACTTGTGTCTCGGATCTAGTACCTGTGCAATGAATAACATGAGGTTGATATTATTAATATTTGACCAATATTTATCATATTTCCCTTCTCCTTAGAGCCATAGCACGTAACCCAGGATCTACACTTCTACACCATTTTAAATCTTCAATCCAACGCCAAAAATGTCCCGCATGTAAGAATTACTCGTGACATAAAGTGAGCCAGAGACACGTAGAGTTGTTCATAAAAGACTTTCAAAAAGGCATAAGTTGCTGCATACTCCCAATCAGCATGTGGCAAACCTTTAAACCTTTCCCACTGCTAAGCTCATCTGAATACTTACTATCCTATTTCCAGCAATTAAAAGCTTTCTGAAATTTTACTGCCCGCCTCCAACATCAAGTATGTGGAATTCCATCTTGTTTCAACATCGAGAACCAAGTGAGCTTTACTTTCAATTTTTTCTTTTGTCACCACTCCTTAATTTTCTGTAACCTTGCCGGAAGATCTCACGTACCTCACTGCCGAACGAATCTGAATATGGAGTCCTCTATATCTTTTAATCCCTCTTTTACAACTAAACTCAATATATGAGCACAACATCTCTGTGGAGAAGTCACCATCCAGACACTCCCCTTCCAACTCCCAACCGATCTTTAGATAACTTATTCCAACATCATTAGAGCTTGCATTATCAACAGTGTTGTGAAAACTTTAGAAATACCCCACTCAACAAACACTTCTCCACGGCCTTGCCAATCTCTAAACTTTATGACTGATAATGGGCAGAAGTTTATACTTTTTTTGTAAAACCCAGTTTTCATCGTGAAATGAGTTCAGACACATATAATTGAGGTTCTGACAACTTGTCCATGTATTAGTGGTGAGAGAAACTCTTTGTGAACTTAGCAAGAATTACTTCTCATCTTTTGGCACTCATCATTATATATTTTAACACAATCTGAAGCAACCGTTGTTCGGCTAGGAATTTGAACCTTGGCTGAGCCATACTCATACTCCCGAAACCCCTCACGCTCAACAAACCTAAAGGCAACTCACAACAATGACCATTTTAGCTAAAGCCCTCTAAGCCCATCCTGGTCAAATTTCCAAGTCAAAAGTGAAAATGTGGAGCGTTACTTGACTGATCACGTGCCTGTTGTGCTTGTTGAAACACTAATGTCTTTTGCTTCTTATCCACCATATTTAAGGGATACTTTTTACACCTACTTAAATGGTTACGCAGACAACTTGTACCACTCTCCTTGGACAAGCTAGAACATTCCCACAGTAATTACATGATGCAGTGGCATCATCCTTATTCTCAAATCATCTTGGTAATGATCCCACATTTCCGAAGTGTTCTTCCTTTGAGTAATAGAAGTCCCACGTTTTTGATTGGACGTGGGCACTGGTGCCGTGCAAGTAGTTTGATTGTGGCCACATTTGCAGTCGGATTCAGTGAATGAATGTCACTTGAAGTCTGACAAGCACCAGTATTGTCTCCAGTCGATGACATCTGCAAAATTCGAAAGAATTAAACTGAGAACAATTATTGAAACAACAACAGGAATATATAAAATAAAGCCCTAAACTTCAAGCACAAAAAAAATAGAATTTAAAT